TGGGATAAGGATGCACGCACGAAATTGAAGACCTCTGATGCGGCCCCTTTACCATTGACATGTGCCGCTATACACTGTTCTGGACAAGTGATGGCCTATGCAATTGGCTATGATTGGAGTAGGGTTAGTTTTTCAATATAGGATCTTAAAAACTCGAGTAAGAAATCAAAAGGCAGACAGCTGAAAAAGTATTTTGTTGTTGCTATGTTAACAGTGGAGTGATAAACAAAGAGATTAAAAATGAAGGAACTGTTAGGCCCTGGCTCGTTCCTTTGAAGTGTGCAACGTATTCCACGTCCCGGTTTTCTGGATGGACCTGCCTGGTACTAATTCTGACTAGGGCTGACTTATTGATTCCAAGTATAGTCCCGAGCGTGACCGTGTGGTTATATAAATAGTAGCTATCCGTATATAATTTGCGGACTGATGTCACGCAGCATTTCATCATCTACAACATAATTATTCTTCGACACAGCAAAAAAAATGATTAGGCTATACAATTTTATTCTTTCTGAATTGCTCTTTGACTTTCATCGTTGAGAATAAAAAAGGACGTCCATCGGAGCTCATTTGCCTCTAGCAGGTTGTTTTTGCAAAATCAATAGTTTGTAGCCCTTTAATTGCTTTGTTTTGTTGAATATCGTATCATTGACGACCACTGTTAATAGCTCCTTTTCAGATAGTTCACATTTCTTTTTCTCAGATCACTTCTTATCATGCCACAGTTTCAGTCATTATTACTCATAACCTTATCATTACTTCGTCCTCAGTTACTTTCTTTTGAACTATCTTTTAATGCTATTTAAAACACCTGGTTATTTTTTTCGGGCAAAGTGTTGATTAAGCGGAAAGTAATCACGAGCATGTCACCATTTCTGAGTAATCCTTTTTAAGTTCGACAAGCGGGAAGTGATCGGAAGCAAGCTTGAGGATGTCAGAAATCACGATCAAATATTTTCAGAGATTGGGAACTTCATTTGAACTCATTTGCGTCAAAGTTGAAGTCAATCATTTGAACAGTAGTTTAGAATGGTCACATGCAACAAACAATGAAATATCAATAAAGTAAATTTTGATCAATCAATCAAATCAACCATCAATCGGTCGGATCAATCAATCAGTCAAAGTCAGCCACTGCCTCAATGAGAGTGTGAGATGCTCTCGGACCAAGGCAATCAAATAATTTTTCTCAGTGAAGGATTATCGCTCAACAATGAGGAATGGATTGCTTGTGTGAATTTGCTCTTTAGTAAAAGTACGGTTTGCAGTGCTGCCATTTATCATCCATGATTAAAGGGGTAGAAAGTGTCGAACGAAGGGGGTGAAGTATGCTAAAATGCTTAGTTTCCTTTGGAACATACCAAGCGGGTAAATTCTATTTCACGTTTTAATCTCTTCCAATCATGAACGTCTAAAACAATTGATCTTGGAAAGTTTTTTTTTTATTTTGAGTGACCTTCATTCGATTACACTGCAATCACATTGGTCTAATGAGTGTATACAGATCAGCTGTCGATGTTTACAGTGTTGCACCAGACATTGTTTTCTTAAGCTGAAGTGCAGGGGTCGGAATTAATGCGAAAAGCTCAATAGAAGGCTCCAGATAGGTGTCGTTGTAAACAATCTTTCTGTGAGTTTTAACAGTCCCCTTCAAAGTTTTTAGTATGGATTTCTAATAACAAGTGGTCGCTTAGCGTTTATCTAGTGATTTCATCTTTCTGGAAATTCATTCCCTCTAATGAATTGCCTAAGTTTTTCGATAACAAAACTGTATATGTTTTGTGTACAAAATGGATTATTTTGATGTAGTTGCCACCATTGACGTCAAGACAACGGAGCTATTACGGATACATTTTTGTGCAGAACTCGGCTTGCTAAGAAATGTTGTAATGATTGTCCTCCGATGGAACGGAATTCATTTTCGTAGGAGCTAAGCAACAGAGCTGCAAAACGATTGGTCTATGTATTCATTATTTGGTTTGTATGCGAGTATAAACTAGAAATATTGCTGCCGCCCGCTCACGGCTTGTTTGCCACCTTCGGCTGCCAAATTATTTAGCGAGGTGGCGGGGAATTTTTCTTGAAAATTGGCCTATCCTTCGCGATCTTTCGATTACTAATCTGATTCGGTTGCTTGGTGCTTTCTGTATAGACCCTGTGAAGAAGCCCATTCAATCCCCTCAACACAGCCCTTGATTGCTTCGATTTCAGGGACACGAAGGCAACACCCAACCAGGTTCAAAGATTATGTTGCACAACTGCTCAGAAGATATGAAACCACGGGCCAAAAAGTAATCTGATCTTTCAATGTAGGGTGAATCTTTGTTAGCCACGTATATTAATTTTTTTTTNTTTTTTTTTGTTTGTTTACATGTTGTTCACTGCTTTATAAGCCGTTGTGACGCATTCCATGTGAAATCTTCGAGATACTCATTTTACTATAAATTTGCTTGACTAGCTGTTGATTCTTATCACGCCTTTATTTTCAATCGGTCAGCCGAGCTGTTATTGTTTATCTTTTCTGTGTTTGCTATTACACTTTATATTGACTACGTACACAAAGTAATCTAAAGTAGCCTTTTGTATTCAAGAGAATTAATTAGAACCTCTGTTTGTCAAGGATTAGGATTAAATATAAGACGAAGCGAGCTCTAAATAAGGGAGAGAAGGAGTTTCGTTCGGGTTGGCTGCTTATGGATAGGGACGCGTTACTTGGCTTACCGCTACCTGCCTTTTACTTATGTAACGGACATTACAGTGGTCTGATAAAGCTAACTTAATAAGCTATACAAAGTTGAAAGTAATATGCCTGATGTGCCGGTAGATGTAATTGAATTTGGATACCTTTGTTATTTTACCCATGCGTCTTTGACCAAAGAGCACACGCCTACATGAAGCAGGCGTTTATTGCTGCTAAACGCGGCTGTTCTAGCTATGGTTATAATAGCATCCTTATTGCTCCCGAGCCCGCTGCGATCAACCTAAAGCGCTACCAAGGCTCTATTGGTACTTCTTGGGAGTAAGGCTTACTTCTCAAATAGCTATAACCGGGGTGGTAGTACAGCGTTTTCTTCACTGACTGTGGAAGTGTTCTCTTCCAAGTATTTTCTTCTTCACAAATCTTCAAAAACCACATTCCCATTCTTTTCTTTATAGAATCAAGCAGGCTAAGGAACAAGGAAAATGTACGCTTTTTGACATGGGCTGTATACGGAGAAATTTCTCAAAACGGTAGGGCACCACACCTCAACCAGGGGCTATTATGTTATTAATTAATGAATAGATCCGAGTAAATCCTCATGGGAATCAGACTAACGATGTATTATTCACAAAAAAATTCATATTAATTGGAGCGTCAAGAGTAACAATTGCATAAAACAATACTTGTTCTGCTCTTCTGACAACAATCTGTTGTTGTTTTGAGTGGTGTGTCGGTTAGAACTCGATTTTGGCATCGATTATGGAGCAGGTAACCTGGACAGGTTCATGCAAAAATGGATAAGGTCAAAGGTAGTGGAAACTGAAGATTAGAAGCGATCGACAATTGTTTTTTTTTTTCGCAAATCGCAAAATTCGCCTTTAACTTCTGATGATGTGGTGGCAGCATTTATATAGCATCATGCGGGAACTTTCGTGCTTTGAACCCTTTTGGAGGAAAAAAGATAATGGCTGTGAAGGAAATCAAATTAAAGTGAGGGAAGACCACGAAATCAAGTGATTAGGAAGGAAATGGTAACAACAAAATATGTAGGCGTTTCTAAGACCAACTTGTCCCACAGTGGGCACTACAACCTCTTATATTGCATCAATCGGTACCAGGGTTTTTCCCCAAAGGCACAAACTTGTTGGCTAGGAATACGTATGGATATATTCGCAATTTTGAGTGCTGGTCTCATGTGGGAGCTGTCTAAGAAGTATAGGTAAGCAATCATAACCTTATCTTGTTCTGTTCAGGTCATTTGAAGAATCTATCCCAGTGGGCTGTCAACTAACATCAAGTTCCGAAAGGACCCAACTAGTGTATTACCAGACAAGGTCAGTTACTTTTCGTTTTTATTTCATCTTGGGAAAAGTGCAGCTTTGATTATTTACTAAATCATTTATCCTTATTAATATACAATATTTAATACGCAAATGACATGTGCGTAAGACATAATTATCATCCGGAGCTTCTCATTTTATCGCGCGATCATCGCATTAATGACCGACAACCGCAAGTCACAGCAAACATGGCATAAATAGCTCGAAAACGATGTGAATGAATAAGTTTGGAAATTAATTCATAGAGTTTCAAACAAAATTAAAATAAAAAACACAAACGAGCACGTAAAATTGATGCGCGAATGGGAGGGGTTGTTGATGGTGTGTGACTAAAAAGTGACAATTTACGTCGAACATGTCATCATCGGTGGTTATACAACGTGGTAAATCCATGAAATAAAAAAGAAAACAAAAAAATATCAATCATTCTTCAACAAAAAATTCGTTCCAACCTAACTGTTACTCAGTGCATGTAAGTAGTAAATGAGTCTTGCATAATTATACGGGGGGCTAAGTGGTTGATTGGTGGCGAGACGACGAGATGATTGAGATGTGAAAAAAGGAGATGTGGAGAGCTGGATGTGGATGTTTAAGGGCAAAAACAAAAGTAGAGGAATGATTCGGATCACAGTGATGCCGGCTGCTGGCTGAACGGGGCCCTCGACGAGGGTGCGCCTAATCGTCGCACCGATGACGACAACCAGACGAGAGAGATGTGGTGTTGTCATCGAACGTACAATTTTACAATACAACTGTTAGTGGTGAAATTATGTAGTTAATGTGGTGAACACTTGTGGAATGGATAACTATATCTATCTATCGATCTATAGCTATACCTTCTATAGTAGCTGTTATTGGCTAAAATCACACACCTGATAGGGAACACACACACAAACAAACATACACACGCATTTGAGTGGCATCACCACGTCGTGCACCCCGTTCACCGTTGCGCCTTCTTATTTTTTGACTTCATTCGTCAAAATCTGGAACAGCTCCTTATCGGCAAGACAACCGTCAACGAATTCTTTGAGCGTTAGTTCCTTGTCGTTATTCACGTCCATCTTCTCGAAAATCATCTTTGCTCGCTTTCGTGGTGAATCGTCAGCTGATTTCGTAACTTCTGGTCCGAGCATCTCGTAGATGGCCTGGAATCATAATCTTATTTTTCACCTTCTGATACCAAAATGGCATATTCACTCTGAAATGGCTATATGATTCAGGGCTTTTCATTCAACTGTGAGCAAAATCAAAAATTCAGAAGAGAAAAACTGCAAGGAGAGGGGCTGTAACATTCGTATGTGGTTTTTTNTTTTTTGTGAAAAGAAGTAGGGATAGAATGCTTGCGGAGTTGAAACACAATCAAGGAATCGATCGAAAGCATAATGTATTCACTCAGTTCGACGGCGGTTTCCTCCATTTGCTGCTGCAAATGAACTTCCCTACATCTTTGGGTGCAACATGCCCGTCCAAGCGCCGCATTATGGATAATAAATGGGTTACTTTGCCAAGCATTGTAAAACTTTTTGAGTAGGAACAGACGCGATTTTCGAGAAAAGACCCTCAGGATTTGTTCCGATTGGTTTCGTGTGATGTCGAGATGAGATCCATGAGGGTGGATGTAGTTGGATTGCAATTTGCAATGAATGTGTGAATGAATCGGGAATGACGACACCGGATACGGACGAAAAGCTTCTTCAACGGACTGATGTTTTATTATGACTTTGCAAGGTTTACTAAGGAGACGACATTTTCGCAATTAAGTTCCAAACGAAAGAGAGGGGTCCTATTTAACTGAAGCACTGTACTGGGCTTCTGTGGAATGTCCAGGTCAAATCATCATCCTCGAAGTTGCCGGGAAGAGTAAACTTATGTTTTAGCACCATCGATCATTTCCAAAAGGCACTCATTGTCTTCAAGTGCCACTGGGAAACTACTAGGGCGAAACTACTGGGAAACTACCACAAAAGGGCTATGAACTCCCATGCACCACGCTTATTTGAACAGCCCGAACGAAAGGGAACATTTCGATCTTCGCACATCACAAGTTTCAGCAAACATGAAAGTGTAAACGACAAAACGGAAACTGAATATTGGAAGACTGACCTCGATAATCTTGATCATTTCTTTTTCATCAATGGTGCCGTTGCCGTCAATGTCATACATTCGGAACGCCCATTCAAGTTTCTGTTCCGGTGTACCAGAGCTGGTCACATTGATAGCTAGCAAAAACTCTTTGAAGTCAATGAATCCGCTGTTATCGGTGTCAAACGTTCGGAACACATGTTCACAAAATCCTTCTGCTGAACCGGAAGGGAAGAAATCCTTGTAAACTTTGATGAATTGCTCCTTGGTGAGGTGACCTTTCGGGCAATCTTGCTGAAATGATGAACTTTAGGACCAAAATTCGCTTCCGTTATGTCGAGACATGGTTATTTTTGGGCTATTTTCATTGGGGCTAAGTAAGGGCAATAAAATTTATTCTACAGTCACGATCTGTGGATTGGATTTGCCCAAAGTCGAATCTTCCATCTCTTGAAGGTGGATTACTTTGTATCGGACTCGAATATACTGGCTTGAATATGTGCTAAATTCGCGAAGTAGGATTTAACACTGGTGTTCCTATAGAGGGATAAACGCGATATTTAGCCAGAAGTTAAACATAATACTCACTGGCCGGAATCACCGATCCTGACCTCCTCACTGCTTAGGTAATAGAGGTGAAATCAGAGTGATACACTTGAATGTCAATTGACGGTTGTATTCGAATGATCGCGCTGGATCATCGGAGGTGTACGTGACCGAACAGACAGAGAGGAAGTCAGAATAATTCAGATTCAAGCACAAGTGTGAAAGGAAAGTAGTTAACTTAACCACTGCGATTATGCCAAAGAGCTACGCCCCCTCATGGCTCGACAACCGTCAGTCACTTGCTAAGTTTTTCGTAATGAAAGCGCAATAAGCTGTCAAGTGAGCGCAGAACTCCTAAGCCAGAAATCTGGCGCAGCACAGAAACCGTAGTATGGTTCCCATTAGAAATTCAACAAATCTACCCAGATACCGTCTATGGAAAACGATGGAAAACGCGAAAGGACTCACCACAAAGCCTTTGTACCATTCCTTTATTTGTTCTTCAGTGAAATTTGTGTTCTTCTTGAGGAATTCCAAGTCCTCTTTTGAGAGTTTAGGTTTCGAGCCTTTGAGTCCCATTGGCACAGCTGCGTCGTCGTGTCACGGCGCAGCAGTCGGCACGACTCTGCCTCAATAAAGAGCGACGCGTTAAATATAAACGTGGAATGGGTGCTGTGAAAAGACGACGACGGCGATGGCGACGAGTACGAGGCGACAGGGGCGCACTGGCAGCAGTTCTTGGAATCAAATCAGAATATATGCCTACTATTAAATGGTAGTGGACACAACCACCCCACGTAGAACATGTACCACAGGGCTAGTGGACGATCAATAGCGATGCTGCGCTAGCCGTCGGCCGTGGCCGCCCCTAGCGGTCTGCGATCGATAGCACTCACTACGGTAGCAAGCAGCAGCAGCAGTAGGAGCAGCGAGTAGCAGTAGCGTTGTGTAGCGCTCAGTGTTCTAGATTTGGAGATTTGCTGTTGTTGCCCCTGGTCCTTGGGGCAGAACACTGATCGCCGCCAGGCAGCCAGCAGCCGGCGCGATCGTCGCCACGCCCGGACGCAAGGTGCGCCAGCACAGCTACGGCTGGCTGCGGAGAGGCGACAGCCGCCAGCTGTTTGTCTGTCTGGCGGATGTTTCTTTTTACCTGAGATATCGTTAACCAAAGGTAATGGCGCTTCTTAGCTGGGTCTTTCAAACGGTAATGATATCGCTACTTAATCAAAATTATCATTATCACAACGGTATCTCTAGAGATAGAAGGATGCTGGAGCGGGTGTATCGAAACTGGGAGGGGGAATAGCTCAACGCTGATGCGAGTTACGAAGTGTATTCAGATCCGCAGATTAAATTATGGGCGACTAGTGCACTGTGCCGAGGTGAGGTGCAGGAATGACGTGGGGAAAAACTTTCAAAAAAATGATCTTCAAGAATTGACGCTATAAAAAAGGAATATGAATGTATCCGACGGGAATGGGCAACATTGATGTTCTGTCCATTTAAGAATGAAGAGCAGGCTATAAGAAGCTTACAAAGTCATTGTGGGCGTATAACTCGGTATTCCCTTCAAAGTAATAGAAAGGCTAACTGGGAAAGCATACCGAACGGCTTTTGATTCAAGACGTACAGCTAATAGAAAGAAATGAAGGAAAGCCACTCAATTTAAGTTCTTCTCGGACATAGCTCAATCTGTTCTCTACTTGTTTATAGCCAATCAAAAAAAGGTTTATATTGAGTGCTGGGAATAACCATAAAATATTGTCGGCTTAATTCATCTCATAAACTAGATTTATATCCCGAACTAGATTTTTTTGGGAAGTGATTGAATCCCTCTTCCTCCGTCTCTCCATAGGATTGCAATAAAATCAGGGGTCTATAGCCATTTCGTATCACAAAGTGCCGTTTTTGCTAGCAGATGTTCAGCGCAGTGCTAAAGGCTGGCTGAGCTGGTGGTGTGAAAGCTGTGAACCAGCAGATGTGCGCGATGTGCCGAGTGGCAGATGAGTCAGATCGCTGCCTCGGGCGACGATGACGTCGCGTGTGCGACACTGCCTTTGCTCCCCCGCAACCACAGAATCGTCCTGAACTTCTGGTGCTGTTACCGCAGACTCCAGAGTTGCCGTCCTCAGTACCTGACCCGACCCAAGGACGACCAAGGATGACAGTCAGTGGTCAGAGGAGGCTCCCTCGGAAGAGTGGCTCTTTTGCAGATGAATTCACAGCTTATAGTGGCTAACAGGGTCATGCCTCAGTGGGAATAACAGAGAGAAGTCGATAGTACTGAGGAAAAGAATAGGCGGTCCTAAGCTTGATGAGTACAGGATTTCTTCCTAGAGGGAGTCCAATTTGCTCAAATCCTCATGTTCTAGAGAACAGTTGTTGGGTGGTCTTCATCAGGCCGGGAAAGCTGACAAGTTTATCATACGAGTTATTACACAATATCAACTGTAGGTGATCTTATAGGAAAGTTCAGGACGGACGACTGGTGGAGAGAAGTTCGGCACATCGCACCATCCGATTCCGGGACGATATTGTGTACATATCCTTTTAATCTTTGAAGCAGACCTCCGGCATGTGCCTTTTTCTCCCCTAGGCATATTAGTCTCTTTTGACAGCATTGCTGTGTCTTTCAATGTTTTTGTAGAGGCAATTTATTCAACAACCTAACGTATTGACGTAATCGTTCTATTCAAAGGCCTAAACGAGTTCCGAGATTAGTACATAAACATTACCCGGCAACTATTCAACCCGCTCTAGAAAATCCGATGACGAGTTTGGAATTCCAGGAATACTCGTAGCTTGAAAGGTACACTCATCAAGGTTCCCACGGGGCTGTGAAAAGGCTCGTTGTCACCCAGAGACATATCAGTTGGTAAAGCAGTATCGAACAGAAACCACTTAGAAGTCAGCTTTTTGTTGAGTGGGGCCCAATAAAGGGTGGTTTTTCCTATTCTTAAAGAAGTAGGAATTTGTTTACAATCGACCATGGCCTAATGAATAAAATATCATAAATATGGGTCAACGTATACAAATGAGGGGAGGCAGGAAGACAGCAATTCATAAAAATCAAAGAACACTTACCCAGTATGAGGCACGACAGAGTAATGACTGCGCTTGGTAAACATAAAGTTGGTGAACATGACCAGTTGACGAGCAATGAGGTATGAACAGTAGACCAATATTAGTTATGGGCCGATTGAATCGTCTCGCTTGTTCATTGAAATTTACTTTTGAAAGTATTGTATAAGTCTTACCTTTCCCTTGGCTGAATTTGAAATGATGTGTATAGTATTAGAGCAGGATATGCAGAAATCAGCCAGGGAGTAGAGGGTGTTCAGTATTTTTGAAAGTGTTTCAAAGAACAAGTAGGATGAATCAGATCGTTCATGACTATTATTGTTCTGTCATTCATACTTCACTGCATGCTGTGAAGAAACATACTGCTACGTGCTTTTTATCGGCATAAAGGAAGAAAAAACCATTGAATTTCGATGTTCGCTATTGATTCATGTCTTTATATGACGGGGAAGGCAGGGGAAGGGGTTGTCGGGAAAGATTCTCGGTTTAGTTTCAATCTTATCGTCGCAATTTCATTTCCTTTATTGGGCTATTGTTCAAGCGATATACAATGGTAGGTTTGGGGTGGCATCAGAGTTGCAATAGAAATAAAATGAAGAATAATTTCCTTATTTCCTTATTTACATGAAGGGTATAAAGGAAGACAATAAAACGGGGGGTTGGGAAAGGGGGGGGGGGGGNGGTAGAAGAGCAGTTGGGTTGTCCAAGAGAGCAAGGACAGTGGCCGGCCAACACTGCAAGCCGCATGAAGGGATTGCGGCTCCGGATACCAGCTTAGTAGGTCCGCCAACCTCTTGGAGGCCCGAAAATACAAGTAGCTATGGAATTGCTGGAATGAATTAAGCGTTTGGTGAAGCGATAGTCATATTCCTAATCATCGCATTCGTTTAGGCCCTGAGTAGGACGGTTAACTTCAAAATTATGGGCCCAAGAAATTCTACTTCGTTCATACAGAAAATCTCAATAGGCATGACAATACTGACGACCGAAGGGTAGCTCTGAGCTGAAGAAATTTTAAAATATAAAAATGAAAGGAATTTAGCAAGTTTAGTTGTTTCTGTGGTGCAGAAGTGTTCAATGAAACAGCTTCATGTGAAGAAGAGCTGATTTAACCGTCACTCATAAGCTCGTTAGCGCTCGCCAAGGTCAACAAAGTCCCACAGTAATCTCTTTTCAATACTGCTTGATCTATTTACTGAACGAAAAATGTGTTTCACGGTTTCTAAATTCGTTTTGAAGATGGTTTCAAATTAATTTGGCCTCGCAGGGAAAAGCGGAAGTGGGAAAATCACATTTTTAGATGAAGCTAGCAAATCTAGGGGATGATTTTCAGAGATGCATGCATGGGTGAGCTATTTCTGGTATCCGTTCCCTAACAGGTGAAACTTTAAGAGCGATAAAGGTTTTTCATTTATCGTCACCCCTTCCCCTTCGATAAAGGATGGAATTGCTTAAGGCTGAGCAAGAGAAATGAGATGCGGTTAGCGGCGGCGGCAAGATTAGGTGCAAGCCTTAATGCGCCTGCTCCCGAATTCGATTTCCTCACCTTAACAGAACCTTCAACTATCTGAACTTTCTATCCCTTTATTGTTGTTTCCTACCGTAATCATAGGTTTCCGGTGAAGCTTTCATTTCATCATTCCCCTGTCTGCTTCGTCTTTATTACTTTGGAATTCTATCCAGTAATCATTGAGACATCAAAGTATGCATAGAGACTGAAAGAAGTTTTTCAATCACCCATCACCACATCAATATGTTCACCCCTTCATAGAGCTCCATGAACGACTTCCGGTCTTTTATGTAGATAAATTGAATTTAGGGGGTAGTTCCTAGAAGGATAGAGCTTCCCGTCTGAGCTGAAACTGACATAGCATCTAAGAATGGTCATATATCTTTCGAACGTCATTTGAAATACTCATAGCATCCTTTTCATGTTTTTTCAATCGAACGATCATAGAAAGGCTTCTATGAAGCTCCACAATGTTCTCCGATGTAACTTCCCACATGTGATCATTATAACCAGTATAATGTAGGGTTTTATGACTAATGGCCGGCAGGCGGGGTTCGGTCAAAAAACCAACTGTTCCGGGAGCAATTCTATGATTTTCGGTGATATTGACAGGTGACAGATGAGGAATCAGCCATATGGTTGATCATTTTACATTTACCAGGGAGATTTGGAAAATTGTTAGATGGTGAGAAGCGACTTGAACGTTTACTTGAGTGTTTCAGAGATTTATGGATAGAATTTATGTGGGAGGTTCATTTTTTCCTTGAACGCCTTGAAAATATTGAAAGACAACGAAAAAGTCTTCCTTCTGGATAGATCATCTAGGAAATTTAAACTTCTGTCAATAGTAATAAACTGGGAGTGTTTCAAGTACTTCATCCTAAATTTTCGGTGTAGTTTATTAAGCGATGATCTGAAGCCCGAAGTATTTCTTTAAAAAATTAAATTTTATAAAAAAAGATGCTGTGGGGGTTTCCTTGAGGTTTCC